GGAGACGTAACACTATAAAAGCGGAAGTAGACTACAAAGAAAGAGGATGGGGCATGTGCAAGGCTTGGTTAGCCTTTTACTTGTACGAAGCTCAGTTTGAAATTGTGTTTCAATAAAGTAAAGAGCTTACTGATACGTGACTGTTTAGTTTTATTTATAAGTTTCGCCTATCAATGAAGATACTGTTACGACAGCGGAGGTCACGTGACCCTAGTAACACGTCATGCACTTCTCGAACGTTCACGTCCCTTCATGAATACTCGAGAGTTTACTAGATATGCAGTAGTCTTGTATATATAAGGCGGGCAAGACGTGACGGCATCAATGTAATATGTAATTGAACTGCGGACAGAGTATTGTTGAGTCGAGCATGTGAGTCGTTCGTTGTGAATTATAGCGTTTGTTATAGCGCGACTGTATTGCAAAGTTGTATTCAGAAAGAATAAACCAGTTTTATTTAAGAAAGGACTTCTATCGCTAAAGTTTCTTCGAAAAGAAATTGTACGGAAAATTAACTAACGAATGGAGGCATAACAAATTTGTATCAGAAGTGGGATAAAAAAAAAGGAAACGAGAAGCGGCAAATCAAACTACAGCTTAGCAGATTAGATGGCTGCAATACAAGAACAGCACAAAAAAAAACAAGAACGAGAAGAGAAACAAGACGAGAAATTACAACAGTTCTTGGAGGAAAAAGAAAAGAAACAAAAAGAACGAGAAGAGAAACAAGACGAGAAATTATAGCAGTTCTTGGAGGAAAAAGAAAAGAAACAAGAAGAGAGATTACAGCATTTGCAAGAAAACCTGCAACAGTGGCAGCTGGAACAGCAAAAGAAACAAGAAGAGAGATTACAGCAGTGGCAACTAGAACAAGAAAGGAAACAGGAAGAAAATCAGCAGCAACTACAGGAAAGTCAACAACAGTGGCAAGAAGTATAAATGGAAAACATTAGTAAATTTAAAAGCGAATTAGATACATTAAAGGATGATTTATTGTCTTTTACACAAGGAGGATACATTAACCATCGACTTAATCAACCCCAGACAATGGCAAGCCCCTTCCAGACCCCGCAGCTAAACCCTAATACAGACATATTCAGTCCTGTTAGAAGTCACATCCCAGATATGAATGTCAGCAATAGGGGTGATCCAGTACGAAGGAAGCCACAGTAATTCGATGGGAAGGCTCTGTGAGAAGCATATAGAGCACAATTTGAGCTACTGGCAGAAATGAACGGATGGACAGAGGAGCAGAAAGCAGTATATCTGGCAACGAGCTTGAAAGGACAACCACTGGAAATACTTGGACAGTTGTCAGCAGATGACAGACACAACAATAGAGCACTGGTAGCGGCTCTAGAACCCAAGTACGGAACCCAAAATCAGTTGGAAGTCTACAGGGCCAGGTTCAGAACGAGAGTCCGTGCTAAAGGGGAGAGCCTGCAAGAGCTGGCACAGGACTTGGAAAGCATGGCACACAAGGCCTACCCAACTGCACTACCCAATATCCTGAAGTTGTTGTTGAGGGATCAGTTCGTAGATGCCTTGGACAGTCCACAACTTAAGATACAAGTGAAGCAAGCACACCCCTCTACCATG